AAAACTTATTATTCAATAAGAATCATTTAGCTTTTACAAATATCTGCTTGTTAAAGTAGAATGAAAAAAACACTCCAGTATTGAAAACATTTATAAAAATGTCTCGTTAATGGCTTCTGCTTAATCAATTTTATTCATAAATTCCTGTTGGACCGCTCCATCGAGACAAGCTAGATGTGCCGGTAGATGAACGGACGGCGGCTATGCCATGTTCCCCGTACTCCCATGAGACCTAGCCACAATGTGGTTATGTCCCCTCTCGTCTCTCCTTACTTGAGGTGTGATACTTCCATTTGTTCTTTATTTTTAGACATTAATAAATTACTTCATCAAATAGATATGCGCTCTCTCTCTAATTTTTATTTATTAACGAAGTTTATCCTAACAATTCCTTAACTAAAATTGCGTAACTATTATTAAAAAATAGAAATTATTTGAATAAATATTCACATACACAAGCAAGAATATCACTATATAAAGCTATATATATCCAGATTGCCAGGCCATTTGTTTCAATAAAGGCGTCCAATTTACCTCAAGCCAATTGAAATTTCTATTGAATAAAGCATTCCACCCTGGCGGTCTCCAAATTGAACCTCTAAATAAATGTTTTTCTTCAATTGTCCGAGGATGAATTTCAAACCTCGCGGCACGGCTTAGCTTTCTATTTCTTTTCGGTTTTTATTTCTTTTCTACATCTCAACCTTAAAGCAGTTACAATAGTTTCCTTTATACACAATTGTTTTCTTTATTTAGATATTTGCTTATGAAATGTTTCTATAGTTTTTTTCTCATTATGGTAAAATTTATCTGCAAGAGAATTGATTGAACCGACACGGTTCTAGGTTCCTTTCTTCTTGAAATTTAAGTCGTATGCATGAAGACCTAATTTTATATTTTTAATAGCAAAATTATATTAATCACAAAATAAATAAAACCTAGGAAAATTAATATTTTTTGATATTTTATTTTAAAAATCGACGTAAAAACTTCTTTTGAAATTAAGATTTCCAATTTTTTAGGCAACCTATATTGTCGGATGGTTGTTTCTTGGAGTGTTGACTCTCCTTTAGTCTATTTTGCCCTTTCTCAAAATCCATTTTCACTATCACAGCCTTGGTTTTTTTCTTCGGTGGAGGCAGTCGTTTGTGTTTTTGAGTTGAGAGGATTAATATTTTCCTTCTCCTTGTATGAAAATGAAAGAATATTTCAAGCCATCTTTGTTAGTACTGAAGATCTCTTAGCTTAGCTACTAGACTTCTTTAGAGGTTATTTTATTTTTTTCCTGATAATTATTATCAAATTCATCTATACAGATCTTACTGAAACGGTATAAATTATTAGATGAGAGTGTTTTGCTCGTCAGTGGTGAACCCTCCCAGAGGTTTTGTCAAATTAATTAACAGACAGCTCTAAATATTCTCTTGTGCATGTTTTAAAGAAGGAAGCTTAGGGGTATTTGATTCAGGTATCTTCGATTCTGAATGTTTACCTCACATTTGCGGCTAGCTAATGTTCTATCACACATATAGAGAGCTATTTCGGTGTATTTTTAATGTATTTCGATGTGTGAAAGCATGTTTTACCTTAAATTGTGGCAGTGGATAGTCGAAATTTCAGTTGGTAAAGTCTTACCATAAACACGGGTTGGCGGGTATTAGCTTCATCATTATATCAACTACCAGCCCGAAACTATAATTTAATGTTTAGAGTTACAATACTGTATTGGATCATTCTGCTTTTATATACAACACTGAAGGGTGGAATCTTAAAAATGGTATTTAAGCAAACTATGGACATAGGCTTTTAGGACAGTAGAATTACATTTAAATACTTGCATCGAGTAAAGCTTTTCCGCAAACAATAAGGACAAGTTAGGCATAAATTAATACATAGCAATAAGGCGCCATCTATATAATACAAATGAAAACACCGAAACGCGAAAAAAGTGAAATATATTAAAATATTCCACATTACCTCATTACTTGGTTATTAAATTTTTGCTTGTCTAAATATATTTCTCATCATGAGAGAGAGAGATTCAAACCTAGTACCTATACCTAATACACGTAGTTTATATTCAGCCCAGTGTGGCCCCAGAAAGATAACACAGAGCCCATAAATTTTATAACCCCTCGATTTATAAACCCTATACGACGGGGTAAAGACTTTCATATTTCCCCCCATTGCTGTCCTGCTTCTATAATATTTTACTGTCAAATAGCCTGTGCTGCCTGACGTTTATTACCACTAACATTTTATTTCTTTACATACAAAAACTATTCTTTGATCTTTTCCTTTCTTTTTTACTAAAGGCCATATTTTATATATTGCTTCTCTATTGAATATCTCGCTCTTTCTCTCTATATATACATCTATATATAGTAATGTGTTTACAATCAAGGCGCTAAGTATATTTTGGATATGATATTATTTTAAAAGGTGTATATATATTAAAATAAATAAATTATTTGGATCAATTTTTTTTATTAAAACATATTTTCGATATTTCGACGAGGCTGTTTGTAGCCTATCTTCTTCTAGGAATTAAGACTCCTTGTAAACCCATCATCCGTTTGATACATGGGAAGTATGACTTCGTTTAATGTACATAAAATGGATTACTCAAATTTTAAAAATATATGTAGGTATTATAATTATTAAAAAAGCTTCAGAATAATTTGATATCGAATTGAAGGTATAATATGTTATAACCCTAACTTGTTACAAAAAATACGAAACTTTTTTGATACCTTAATATATAATATCTATCTACTCGATTTTAACTATCTTTAATCCTTCTCTTATACCAATTTTCTTTCATATAATATACGGAGATAAATTACCACTTTTATTTGGTTTAAGCTTTAAGGTTTTCATTTTTCCTAATTGGTAATTCCTAAATCCTAAATTAATATATTATCTTATATATCGTGTCCTCCAGTTTTACACTAGATTGTTTTTAAAAAAACGCTAAACAAAAAAAAATTAAAAATCTATCTTCTTTCATCAAAAGAGTAAATAGAGGGAAAAAATACTTCTCTTCCTCTAATTATTTTAATTTTATATTTGGAAAATTATTATCATGGTTCTGTCTTTGCTCTTTTCTATAAAACTTTCCTCTTCGCTTATTCCTTTTTTTACCCAGCCAATGTTTTTCTGGAGTTACTTTTTCATATTACTATATGCTAACTACTTTTTTATTAAATAAATAAAAAAAACCTCGCATGTTTAAACTAAATAACAAATTTTATAAATTTGAAAATTCTCAT